CAAGGCCCAAGCGTGTGGAGATCACCAAAATGCAGGGGATCGGGCTCTTCAAGCATGTGTTAATGAAGCACGGCGTGTCCAAGAGGAGATAGAGAGAGCAAAATGCGGTTCTGCCAAAAAAGACCCATGGCCCAAGACTGAAAAAAAGCCAGACCCTTGCCAAGAGGAAAATAGAGGTAGGGTAGGCCGTGATCGACGATCTGAGAAACGCAGGCTCACGAAAGAAGGTCTTGACGCGGTTGCGGAATATGCCATATGGAAGACATTGACGGAGAAGAGGAGGCCCACGGCTGAACAAACGTCCATCAGCGACCGTGGTCCACAGCAAGATGATAGTGGGGAGATGGTGTGAGGGTGATTGATGAAACCCGTGAATGATTCTTTTCCGTCATCAGGTGCCCCCCATTTCGTGATTTCGACGGAAACGAGACACAAGAACGCGTGGTTGTGGAAGCTGTGACGTTACGGAGCAGACCTGAAGCGATGTTACACAGGCTGCATGTTGTCTCCCGCGTCTATTCCAACTCAGAAGTAACCAACGCTTACGACAACTTCCCGCTTGTGCCTGATGATAAACCCCCATCACGCTTTCCCGCCATGTGCCGCTTAAGTCTCTCGTCAAGGCCAAAATGTGCGACCCGCCGAAACCGTCTCCGGCCGTCTCCAACAACATTGATGCCGGCTCCTATATCGTTATTATCAGCTACCCTATCGGTTGACCCTTAGGCCGCTTAGCATATTAAACCCGAACCTCCTGCTATATAAACCTGCGAGGTCACCTTCCCTCGAATTTCTTACTTCAAGCCTGCAACATCTTTTCAGACAGCATGCATCTCACCACGCTTATCCCGACAGCGATGCTCTTGGCAGTCACAATGGTGGTGCTAGTTGGCACCGCCGATGCAGTGTGGACTTGTCCAAGTGGTCGTGATCCATTGTGCTGCGCTAGATATACAGACGAAGGAAAAGTTGAAGGTGTTGTTATCGGAAGTGAATGTATTTAACCAGCTGTCTCCTTGATATGCCCTTGAGCTGAAGACTCACACTGTACAGGTAACGAAGCACCGAGAACCGCGAGATGCGGTGATGCCTCGAACCCTCTTTGCTGCAAGCCAAATGTGAGTGGTTGGGTCGAGAGTGCCCGCTGGGTGAAGTTGACATGAAATGAAACCCCTCAGTTCGATGGTACAAGCTATTGCGATAGCGAGGCCAAGGGCTGGACTATATAACTGCATGGCCATCAGGAGTCCAGGAGAGCGATAATTCTCGCGACGCCATTGAAAATGCATGCGATAGCCTGACCTGTTCAGAGAGCAGGCTTTTTGGACATCATTGAAGTTGAGCAGGATAGGGTGACCACGGGCATTGAATTTGCTTTCAACTTCTTGCTTGCCACGGAGGTCAGGATTGAGATTGCAATTTTGTTCTGTTGATTCAACATCCTTCAACTCTCACCAGTAGTCCCAAGAACATTTTTAATGTCATTCACTTGAACATTTGAGATCTGTCATTCAAACACACCTATCCACAGGAATTAATGTCTTGTTAGGATTCTACTCCCACTTGTAAGTTCAAATCTCCTTCCGTCCCAAGTTGTCACAGGACCTCCGTCATTTCGAAGCCGTCGTCGACGTCACGACGTAGATGTTGTACATGAAGGACACGAGAGAGGCTCGGCCCGCGAGTCAGTCGGCTGGTTAGCGCGACTTACGTAATCAGCTAAACTAAACGACGGGTTCTCGGCGCAAGCGGTTTTTCACACCAAGCGCTAGTGCTGCTCTGAAACATCCACCATCTGGCCTGATGTGACAACCAGACGATCGGCTTCACGAGTGAACGAACTTCGCGGATTTGATGTTGGGTTTTGGAGTGCGCAACGGGTTTCTGGTCTGCCTGCCGCGACACTCCAAGCTTCACACACGCTATTGTCACCTCCTCGTGTCCTCAGCACCTCGTTCTATGGCTGTATTCCGTGCAGTCCAGCCTGGGCAACCCATTTTGCCGGTTCCACCTCTTCATAACCCATCATCCATTGCTCTCTAATCTCCCAACTGAGCATCCAGCCGCCGCGTTATTGTGCCGTTCTCCCATAGAACACACGGTTTCCTTTAGATTATTGTCACTCGTTTTTTTGAATCTTTTGTATTATTAACAGCTCCTTGCACCGAAATCTTCCTTCGACCGCGCCTCACCCCCCACCCGCTACACAAAAGTGCTGGCACGATTTTTGTACGGGCTTCTATTGTCACCATCACCGCTGCATTTACTCAGCGCTTTAGAAGCGTATCGCTTGCGATTTAGGCCTACCTGATATACTAGTGGAGGATGGTCGTGGAGCAAACCACTCCGGGAATAAGCACAATGGTTTCCGACAAGTACGGTCGCGTTTTATTCTAATGTCAAGAGAGGACATTTAGTGACTCTGACGTGGTAATATAGATATGTTGGATTGGCGCTGGCCATTCTTTCGACAATGGCAATTGGTGCGTATAGATTCGTCCTTCCACTCATAAGCTAGGGGGTTCGCGCACTCACCCATCATGGAATGATAGGCACAAGTTTTGTTATCACGAAAAGGGTCAGTGACCTTCACCCCGCTCATGTCAACTCATAGCGCATGTTAATGCTTCGCAGGGTTTAATGGAGGCTTCAGAGAGACATGGCTTTGAAGGCGAAGGATATTCCTACCTGAAGAGTCCAATATGGTGGGGAGGCATAATTACACGTGCGCACCCGAACACCGCCGCGCAATAAAGACCGGTCACAGCTAATTGATTCGATATCTAGTAATTGTTGGTGAGGTCGCCAATTTCGCAGCCTATGCCTTCGCGCCAGCTATCCTTGTCACCCCCTTAGGCGCCTTAAGTGTGTTAATCGGGTGAGCGATATCGAGAGTGCTGATCAATCTTCTCCGGGCTAACCTGGGTTTAGGGCTGTCCTGGGGTCTTACTTTTTACATGAAAGATTAGGAATACTCGGAAAGCTTGGCTGTGCGCTGTCGCTCCTTGGATCCGTTATCATTGTTCTACATGCACCGCCGGATGAGGAGATAGAGACTGTGGACGAGATTTTAGGCTATGCGATCCAGCCCGGTCAGTATAAAATGTTGGCGAAGTGCAATTTTGTGCTTACACTGATTAGGGTTTTTGCTTTACTGTCTCGCCGTCGCGATATTCTCGACCGTCATGATATACCGAGTAGCCCCAGTCTATGGCAAGAAGAACCCGATGATTTACATCTCCATTTGCTCGACGGTTGGATCGGTTTCTGTCATGGCTGTCAAGGCGTTCGGCATTGCATTGAAACTCACCCTAGCTGGGAACAACCAGTTCACGCATCCCTCAACGTATGCTTTCGCCATTGTGGTCGTCTGTTGCATTCTCACCCAGATGAATTATTTCAATAAGGCTCTAAGCCAATTTTCTACTTCAATGTATGCTTTTTTCTCAACTAGTCTTTCCGATCATATGTGAGCATACTAATCTCCTTCATAGTGTTAATCCTCTATATTATGTGACTTTTACGACTGCTACCCTCTGCGCCTCCTTCATCCTTTTCCACGGGTTCAACACCACAGATAGTGTCAACACCATTTCGCTTTTATGTGGTTTTCTCATTATATTTGCCGGAGTGTACCTCCTGAATTTATCGCGAACGGATCCAGACGGGCATACTATGCTTAACGGCAAAACCGATGAGGAAGGCGGTGTACCCACCGATGGCATTGCCAGTTTGCAAACACGTCGATCACTCCAAAACAGAAGAAGCGTTGACCATCGACGGAGCTCTTCGAGTCTAACATACTTCCATGGCTCGAGTGACCGTGAAGGTTTGATGCGATCTTATGATGTTGAGGCGGGCGCATTCGGCCTCACGGATTTGGCAGACAGCGATGATGGAGGACGAAACAGCACGTCTCGGAAAGCGAGCCAACAGGTCGAGCGTCAGCACGTCGCCCCAAAGAGTAGTGAACCATAAATCTTCTCATACATTTCTTCTCCTTTTTCCACCTTCCATTTTGCGTGACCATTGATATAGACTTTCAGTCTTGTTGGATACGTGGCCGTCAATGTGAAATGGAGCATGAATATTAACGAACTTTTCATTCAATAGCCTGGGTCATCCAGTGGGGAATTATAGATACTGGAGTTCGACTCGCGGCAGTCTCTTTGACGGGGAGTTTGGGCAGTCAGGCATTGTTGCTGCCGGAACTTACCCCGGAGTCTCCGTCATCTTCCTTCTTTCCAAAGGAGCTCTCCTGATGCTCCTTCGCATGTATACACGGTGTTCTGGTTCGATACACGACCAGTTGGGTATTTGGTGCTTAGTTTTTCTAGCAGGGCTTCCCCAATGTAAATGCTCGGATTTTTTTTTCTCTTCACTGGTCAAACGTCGACATCGCGGCTCTTATCATTGTTACCACATCCTCTCTTATTTTTTTAGCCGACGTTTGTCGTACCCTTTGACCGCACCCTGGCGGTTTTCTACCTTTTCTCTTTTAGCATACTCCCTGAACAATTTCAGGTCCGAGTATGTATTTGGCACCCTTGCTATTGATCTCTGTTCATATTGTGAGAGATCTCAACTGCTGCGCTATGTTACACTATACATGGTTGACAAGCAACAAGACCGAAAATCACATTAGATATGCCAATATATCCCGGGTTTGTGCCACTACCTTCTTCCTAGAGTACGGCGTAGGAGTGAGTAATTTTCCTCTGTACGGGGCTCCGTAGACAGACGAACTAATTACAGTACTCCCTACCTGAGGTGGTGGAATTTCATAGCACAGAATGCGTATGATTGTTGACCCTGCTCCGACGACACTCGGCGCGCGCAACCAGCAAGCATTCTCCCCGTGCCTCGGAAGGCGGCCCGTGGGCGCATCACGTGGTCTCATGGGCTTCTTGCGCGAAGAGGGAACTTTGATTGGCGGTTTGGCGGCATGATCTCGCGCGGTCATGATGCCATCTGGACATAAACGACAAAAGCTCCCATGCCTAGCTTCTGAAGAGTGTTGCATGGGCAGTCTTTTGTCTTCTCAGAATAAAGGATAATGCCGGGCCTGGTGAGAAAACTTCTGATCATCGCGGCAGTTGACGGCTTGATACTTCAACCGTATGGAAATGGAACTCGCAACTATGGCGGTGCGGGGTCTCCCTCGCTGCAAATCGACTATAAGACTCCTCGAATGCAACCGCTGTTGACAGACCGCACTGTTCACGCCAGGAACGACAAGCGACTTGAGGCGCATGGGGTTATCGGCAAGTTCTTTTGACATGGCCGGGTTTTGGGCGCAAGCTGACTGCGCATTTTGTTGTAAAGGGATACTCTCCGTTGCTTCATATTCCTTCCTGATATCGATTACCCAGCGGGAGCAGGTGGCTCAAATTCTAGGAAAACCGATTTTTATAATAACAGGCGTCGCGGTTATACCCTTGTCGTCACAGACAGATGCCTCCAAAGCGATCGTGCACGCACAGCGCTCCTTGAAAACGGAGTCCGCGTTTGGGGCTGATGGCACCTCGGATAATGAAACGGATCAATCCGAAGCGCCTGATCAAGAGGATATAAACCCGGATTCATTGCCCCCTCCTCTTGATCGAGAAAAGCAGATACCTTCCGTTCAACCCAACAGCCACATTGCTGAAGATGTTATCAAGAAAAGAGGTCGCTATCGTAGATTTGCAAGTCAATGGTTCTTTGAAAAGCTATGGCAAGGCGAAAATAAGCCATCCAGGGATGTGGAGTTCAGAAACCTGAGTAATCCATCCGCCAGAGGGCGAAATCATAACGACCCCCAAATGCACGATGCTATGGAACTTGAAGAATTTGATTCCTCAGGACGGAAGTTGGTGCCGTCTCCACGGCCCGACGAGAGTGAAGAACGAGCTCATGAGCTGATGCCAAAATTTTTACGATATACCAAAATGTTTTTTGGCTCAAGAAGTTTTTATTTTTCCTATGATTATGATATCACAAGAAGATTTAGTTTTCAAGATCCTCAAGTTTCCCGATTACCTCTATCAACTAGAGCTGATCCATTGGTATTGGCCCATCCCTTCAATAAATTTGTGATTAAACTGGCTGATTTCAGATGCAGTTTTTCTGGAATAGACATTTGCTGTCACCCTTTATAGAAAGTGGAGAGCTTGACTTTGCCCTTCCTGTAATGCAAGGCTTTATCGGTCAGCAGGAATTCACTGCTGAACCCCTCCTTGGTCCAAGTGATACTCATGCCGGTGGAGAAGTCTGTGACCCTGTTGGCGAGGACGAGAATCCTGCTCCACCATCGCCTGGAGGAAATGATAGGTTCCTCCTTACTCTCATCTCTCGTCGATCCATTAAGAGATCTGGAGTTCGGTATCTTCGCCGAGGTGTCGATGATGAAGGTAACACTGCGAATATGGTCGAGACAGAACAGATACTATCCCGGCCGTCGTGGGATCCTACTTCAAAGGTATATTCCTTGCTGCAGCTACGTGGATCAATTCCACTGTACTTTTCGCAATCACCCTACACATTTAAGCCGATCCCTGTACTTCGACATTCCGCTTCCACAAATCAACTTGCTTTTGATAAGCATTTTCACGACATTGGAATGAGATATGGAAAGGTACAGGCTGTGTGTCTCCTTGACAAGCACGGAGTGGAAGTCAACATCGGAGAAGCCTACGAGAAATATCTTGACAAGTTTAATAGCACTGGAGGCCTTAATGGTCACGATGTGGGATATGAATGGTTTGATTTCCATTCGGAGTGTCGAGGTATGAAATTTGAAAACGTAAGGCGGCTCGTTGCTAAACTAGCTGATACCCTGGATGCTTTTGGAGATACTGTGGTCGAGAACCACGGGGTTTTGAGGACCCAGTCAGGAATTGTGAGGACTAACTGTATGGATTGCTTGGATCGTACTGGTGTCACGCAGTGCGCCTTTGGCCAACGAGCCTTGGAGCAACAGCTAAAACAAGAAGGCTATTTTATTGACCTCCAAACCAGCACCACTACCCAGTGGTTTAATATTTTGTGGGCTGACAACGGGGATGCCATCTCTAGGCAATATTCCTCGACTGCTGCTTTGAAAGGAGACTATACAAGAACCAGGAAACGCAACTATCGCGGGGCACTAAACGACCTAGGCCTAACACTCTCTCGGTACTATAACAATATTGTGAACGACTATTTCTCACAAGCATGCATCGATTATTTGCTTGGGCTTGTCACGACGGGAGTATTTGACCAGTTCGAAATGGAACTTGAAAGCACAGACCCCGGGATCTCAATGGAAAAAGTCCAGCAGAATGCGATAGAAACAAGTTGTAAGATCGTTATTTCCGACGATAAAGAGGAGCTTGTTGGAGGTTGGACCATGTTGAGTCCTCACGAGCCGAATACGTTGAGGTCCCTGCCGTTCGAACAGTCCGTCCTCTTGCTCACTAATGCGGCCGTCTATTGCTGTCGATTCGATTGGAATACAGAGAAAGTTACGTCGTTCGAGCGCATTGACCTCGATTCTATTACGAAAATAAAATACGGCACGTATATTACGTCTACCCTCACTGAAGCTCAGATGGACGAGAAGCGAAATGTGGGTATAGCAATTACCTATATGCCAGGAAAGAAAACCATGTTGCGGGTCAATACTCGTTCCCTCCAGAGCCTGAGCGATCAAGCGCGAGCCGAAGGCGAAAGATCCGCTTTAGACTGGGACCTAACTTCTCTTCTCAAGGGCCCCAGTGCACCGCCTTGTCGCCATGTTGCCTTCAAGATACCACAAACCACACCAGTCGCTCTCGCAAGCCCGATGAAGGTTGTCGTAAGCGAACTAGACACAGCGCAGACCATTTGCAACGATATCGAACGAACGGCAAGGAAGTCTCGGGGGCTAAGTCACCCAGAGGAGCTGTCGATGGTCGAAGAAGCGAAGATCATATCTCTTACCGATGCAAAGAAGCAAACCGGATACCTGGAGCATCTGGTTTTTGACATAAAGAAACTTGTTTGGGCTTAATAGAATTGATAGCGAGCGGTTTTCCTTTTAACTAATATATGTTAAATTTAAATTGCCAAAAAAAGGCAGTTTTGTTTGCATAGCAGTACATGTGTACACAGGCCATTTTGTATATAGAATCTGAAAATCCCCAAAGACAAATGGATAAATAGAGAGAGCAACGGTTGAATGCAATGTCCTGAGAAGCAAATTCAATCACAAAATCTCTGTTGAATCAGGCCTTTTGCAAAACTGTGGAGAGCCAGCATGGACGAGCCAGTGGATGGATGCGAGGTGTCATAAACTCTCTCGTGACGATGTGTATGGTTCTGCCGGCCGCGACCGCCCTGGACCGCATTTGGCAACAACTGTGCCACCCACCCAACCCACCCGCCGACCAACAGCGCGCTGTCAGGGCATTGCCTCTCCCCAAACCCTATCACATTTGCGACATGCTACCATATATACAATTTTAATTCTCTCACACAAGCCTACTTTCCTCTCCTTTACATCACCTGGGAACATCTGGCTTGGGTTTCTTCTTCTTATTCTTCTTCTTCTCCATTCCTTGTTCTCTTTGTGCTCGCTATTTTCTCTTACAACTGTCCATAGATTGTGAATTTTTGTTTCAGAACTTGTTTGGGTTGCGCTGAGCTAAAGACCCCTCCAGGACCTCTGAGTGTTCTGCCCATAACCTCCCGGGGCTTAATACTCAGACCAAACAGTAAGTGAGTTCAGAAATGTTTTAATTTTCATTTTATTCAGTAGCTGATGTGTGAATTTCTTCATGACTAGCCAAGATATCATCTTGGGAGCTGAGGTCTTATTCCCAGTGCGCAACCATCCTATCCTAGGCGTTTTTTTCAATGCAAAGAGCACTCCAATCAGCTATTGTCAACATGGCATGGCAACCAGAGGAGGAACCATTGAGGCAGCTAGCCGGATTCCTGAATGACTCCCTCAATGGTTTTGATCATGCTGTACAGAAACACGCTGAGCATGTAAGCACAGACTCCTCCCCGCCCTGCATTCCGGAAGACCCTTCCCCTGAAAACCATGTCACACCCTCATTGTTCTTTGTTACATGACGAATAACGAATGGTCCCCTGCATGTAGATGCTCGCGCAAGCGACATCATCACCGGATTTCGTGAACTATCTATCGTACCTCATCTGCACCGCCCAAGTGCCATCCGCGATTGGCTTCGACGCAAACCAGTATGTCGTAATCCGAGTAGCTGCCGCGATGAACCTCAAAACAAAACTGCGCGTGGCGTACGGAACGATTACTCCGAACAGCCTAGGGTATATCCGTTCCTCATCCATGGTCGCATTGCAGGACCCGTCGGGCCAGGTTCGGAACGCATCAGGCTCGATAATATCAGAGATGGTGAAACAAGGTGGCGTATTATCATGGCCGACGCTCTTTGAGGAACTCTTGTCGTTGGTCGGCAACTCCACCGGATCTGTACCAATAGTTACTCAAGAGTCGGCCATGTCCGCCTTGGAGAAGGTATGCGAGGATAACCGGAAGATCCTGGACAGAGACTACCAAGGCCAGCGCCCGCTAAGTATCATTCTGCCGAAATTGATGGAGTTTACTGCCAGCCCCAGCCCAAAAGTCCGTTCCATGGCCCTATCCACCGTCCAGATGTTTATCTCCTCTAGACCCGATGCTCTCATGGGTGCATTGGACACCTTTGTCCACGAACTCTTCAAGCTGGCCCATGATCAGGACACGGATGTACGGAAGACAGTGTGCCAGTCAATTGTGCAGCTTGTCGATGTCGCCCCGGATAAACTGGCCCCCCATATGGAAGGCTTAGTGAACTATATAATCATGCAGCAAAATAATATCGAAGACCCGGAGCTCGCGCTCGATGCAGCTGAATTCTGGTTGACGGTTGGCGAGCAGAAACAGCTGCAGCAGTCCTTAGTGCCTTATCTCGGAAAAGTCATTCCTGTTTTACTCCATAATATGATATACGATGAGGATGATGCGGCGTTGTTGGCAGGTGAGGAAGACGATGCCGAGTTCGAAGACAAGGAAGAGGAGTTGAGACCACAATTTGCGAAGAGCAAAGGTGCAAGGCTACCTGGTTTGAAGAGTGGTGACCAGCCCAACGGTGACGGGAAAGCTGCGCAAGAAGAGGATGATCTGAGTGATGGCGAAATCGAAGATGACTCCGACTACGGGGATGACCCAGAGGATGAGTGGACCGTGAGGAAATGCTCGGCCGCTGCTCTCGATGTTTTTGCCACCGTTTACCATCAGCCAGTTTTCGAGACTATCCTGCCTTACCTGAGGGATAACTTGAAGCACGCCAAATGGACCAACAGAGAGGCTGCTGTGCTAGCCTTGGGAGCCATTGCCGACGGTTGCATGGATTCGGTGACGCCTCATCTTCCCGAACTCATTCCCTACCTTATCTCTCTTTTATCTGACCCAGAACCTATCGTGAGAAAAATAACATGCTGGTGTTTAGGAAGATATTCTGAATGGGCGGCACATCTAGAGCCGACCGAAAAGGCCCGCTTTTTTGAACCGATGATGGAAGGTATCCTTCATAGGATGTTGGATAACAACAAAAAGGTCCAAGAAGCCGCTGCATCTGCTTTCACAAGTTTGGAAGAAAAGTCCGATGCCAACCTGATACCTTACTGCCAGCCCATTCTCCGCCAATTTGTGTTGTGCTTCCAAAAGTACAAGGATCGCAATATGTACGTTCTATACGATTGTGTGCAGACACTGGCCGAATCTGTGATGTCGGAGCTCGCTAAACCCGAACTCGTTGAAATATTGATGCCGGCCCTCATCGAGAGATGGAACAAGGTGTCGGATCAATCCAGAGAACTTTTCCCGCTTCTTGAATGTTTAGGATACATTGCCTCTGCATACGGAGATGCGTTCTCTCCATTCGCACCTCCAATTTTTGCCAGATGTATCAAGATCCTGTACGAAAATATTCAGGAATACATCAATGCAGTCAATAACGCAACCGGCGACGAACCAGACAAGGACTTCTTGGTAACCAGCTTGGATCTCCTGAGCTGTATCATCCAGGCGATCGATCCTCAGAAGAGCGGAGAGCTTGTCGCAAACTCACAGCCACGGTTCTTTGACCTTCTTTGCTACTGTTTGCAAGACCCCAACGGTGAAGTCAGGCTTTCATCTTATGCTTTACTTGGGGACTGTGCAATCAACCTTTTCCCTCACCTCCAACCGTTCCTCCCGACAATTATGCCAGTTCTCATCAAACAGCTTGATTTAGATTTGATACGGGACGATGACTCGGCGAGTGGCCTTAGTGTGATCAATAACGCGTGCTGGGCGTGTGGTGAAATCGCCATACACGCCAAGGCCGCCATGGCGCCGTATTTGGAGAGTCTATATCAAGCTTTTGCTATAATCATGAGCAATGAAGAGGTGCCTGACTCGGTGAACGAAAACGCAGCTATCGCCCTTGGACGACTCGGATCTGGTTGCCCGGAGCAACTTGCCCCACATCTTGCACGCTTTGCTGAGATGTTTCTCCGGTCTATGTCCAAAGTTGAATTCACGCGGGAGAAGTCCAGTTCGTTTTTGGGGTTCAATCAAGTGGTCCAGCAGAACCCCAAAGCGATGGAGAGCTGCCTCGGAGAGTATTTCCATGCTATCGCACTGTTCCCTATGAAGTCGCTAAGTCAGCCCGAGTTCACCAGCTTACAACATTCCTTTCAACAGGTAACTTTTTTTCCCACATCCACACCATAGTTTCGCTTTTGCCAATCAGCTAACGAGTGGTGGCTACAGGTGCTACAAGGTTATAAGAGCCTGATACCGGATTTCAACGCCTTCCTTTCGTCATTACCGGTCAACGTCACACGGAAACTTCAATCGAGTTATCAATTATAGTGAAAATAAAATAATGCGACCAAAAGGGCACAAGGCAGTCTAGATATTAATTTCCCTTTGTGCCTGTTGATATTGCATGAACCTTTGCTTTCTCTGAATATGTTTTCAATCATGGGGAGAGAAAAGAAGATCCATATGAAACGGCCTGGGATTTATGATGTATGTTTTGGATTTCTCACTTCGCTAGGCACTGTAGATACAATGATGACAAGGAGCTGGAAATGAGGACATCATGAGTGCAGTTGAAACATTCCACAGAGTATATGCTCTTTATTCCTCTTCCCCCCGCCCCGAGCAAACAAACACACACACACACAGAAAAAGAAAATTACACCCTATGGTCAGGCATCCCAAGGTCAGTGAACGATGAGGACCAGTGTAGAATAAAGTTACAGCTAAGCTTCCTCTAGTGGAGTGCCGGGCCTCAGTAGCTGGCGCTGGTTGCAGGGAATGCCGGTCAAGGATTGCATTCCCACTAACTCATCACTCACCCAGGATAGCTATGTGCTGTGCATACACCATTCCCTCAAGTGCCCTTTGGCCATAGGTTGCAGGCATATGACCTGGAGAGCTGCCATGCAATCATCATGGCATAAGCTGGCCTTGCAGCGCGAGATTGGCAGGCTTCCAGATGGCCTGCAGTCCGCTCAACACGCGTTTGATGCCAAGACCCGGTGCTGCGCCAAGTGGGAAAGCATGTGACATGCCACCAGGGTCAGGCCACGCCCTAACTTAGCTCGCCTGCAGCGCTTCTCTTGCTTTTTTCCTTTTTCTTATCCCACCTTTGCCTGCATTTCTTTTTTTTTTTTTTTTTTTTTTTTTTTTTTTTTTTCCATCTTTAACTCTGCTGTTTCTCTTCATCACCCCGCCATTCTGTAGCTATTTAACTTCCATTTCTCTGTTTCTTTGTAGATAATATACAAGCCATTTTTTGAACACACTGAAGTCCTTGCCACCGTGCTTGGATACAAGGCTGACAAGGTGCTCTGATACAAGTGGGAATAAGGGTGTGAATACCAGACAGGATCCTTGCAGCGCGTGAAGGAGCTGAGATTTTGTGTATATATCACGGTTCTAATCTTGGATGACTTTGCATATCAGGGTTCTGCCTTGGAATTTCTGTGCCAATCTTCGCCTGTCTTATATACCTCTAGAGCAAAGTCCAGACATCGAGGCCCCAGAGGAGATAGGCCCTCTTCCCATCGCCTAGATGTCCATACTGCAGGTCACACTGTGTGCTAGTGACGGGAGTGGGAATGGAGGAAGCATCAGTGGTCAACCTGGTGAGGACACATTGGGTGAGTGTTCCCATTCACGTCCTCTCAGATATTCTCCAATCCTGCATATCTCTCTGCTCCAACAAAAGCCCTCTACAGGCATTCACAGTGCGTGAACGGTCGTGTACAGTCTTTGGAGCAAGCCTTTTTCCCTTCCTGCAATAAAATACCGCCTTTGACATTCACGCCCATCGCATGAACGCAGTTGCATACTCTCTACATACAATCCTCTAACTCTTGTACCCGTTGCAGATCACACTGTCAGGCCTTTCCAAACGTCCAATACGCAATTGCCAACAATAAATGCGGAGAATGTGGGCGACCCCACGTCCGACACCCGGCAGATAAGGCAACATCGTGCCAGCATTGGCGGGAAGAAGGTAATAGCGCGGACATTGCCACACGCTTCTTCTTCATCTCTGAACTCCCTTAGCAGTCAAATGGCCAGCTCAAAGCTAGACGGGGCCAACCCAAGCGCCGAGGATACAGATCCAGGCGCACGAAGCTCTGATGAATCCCGTCAGGGCCAGTACTCGCTCTTCCTGCAAGTATTCAGCTGGCTGCAGAACGAAAGGACCAAGCTGGCTACTCGAAGGCAGAAAGTTGGAGATGAACATGGGTCCGCGGAAGCGCCGGATTCGAACACTTCCGAGTCTAGAACGGATGACATGGAGTTCGCCCTGGACCAGCTTGAGCGTATACTGGCACAATACTCGAGTTCTCGGGAGAATATTCGTCCTAGAGGTTCAATGACACCGAAGCAACGGGCAGCAGCAGTCAAGAAACTACGACGAGGATCCCATTCCGATTCTGACTACACGGACACTGATCAAGGTGTACCTGGCGCCGATGTTACCTTGGATAATTCCAAGGCACTTCTCTATTCCGGCGGCGAGGCGGATAGTGACGTCGACGCTCTCGAAGTTAAGCCCTCAGCTAAGGATCGCGAGAACTGGCTGAAATTTAAATTCGAAGTCGTCCGTTTGGTTCATACATTAGGGCTCAAGGGTTGGAGAAGGGTACCCTTGGAGGTCAGCGGCGAAGTAGAAGTCGTGCGCCTAAGCGGAGCATTGACCAATGCTGTTTACGTCGTTTCACCGCCCAAAAAACTTCCGATGGCTCAAAGATCAGAGACGTCGTTGCCATCAGTGCCGCGAAAACCTCCACCGTAAGCCCTTTCACTTCCTCCAACAAGAAGTATAGAGCTGATTGATGAACTAGGAAGCTTCTCCTCCGTGTTTATGGGCCTCAGGTGGAACACCTTATCGACAGAGAGCGCGAGCTGCAGATTCTCCGTCGTTTAGGAAAGAGGAATATCGGACCCCGTGTTTTGGGTACTTTCAACAACGGACGTTTCGAACAGTATTTCCATGCAAAACCTCTAACCACTAAAGAACTACGTGTTCCCGAGACCTCCAAGCAAATCTCAAAACGCATGAGAGAGCTTCATGACGGCATCGATCTACTCCCAGAAGAGCGAGAGAGTGGACCCTCCTTGTGGAAAAACTGGGATAAATGGGTCGGACGCTGTGAGAAGGTTACTACCTGGCTGGATCAAGAGATCCTGAATGGTAATAATAGCTCAAAGGCTTCCAATGAGCCCTGGAGATCGCGCGGTTTCGTCTGCTGCGTTCCATGGCAGAGCTTCCGGGCCGTGGTGGATAGGTATCGGAAATGGCTGGAAGAACATTTTGGCGGCGCAGGGGAGATTTCCAAACGGCTGGTATTTGCGCACAACGATGTAGGTCTATCTTTTTGTGTCCTGTTATATAATTATAAGCTCCGATAACTAACTTAACAGACACAATATGGCAACCTTCTCCGACTACAACCTAGCGAAGAGTCACCGCTGTTGCTCCCCGCCAACGAACATAAGCAGCTGATTGTCATTGACTTTGAGTATGCATCCGCTAACATGCGTGGTGTCGAGTTTGCGAATCATTTTGTAAGCCATACCTTTCCTTCTAGATTCAACGTTCACCTGAGAAAAGCAACCTTCTGACCCGATTACAGACCGAGTGGTGTTATAATTATCATGACGCAGAACGTCCATGGGCATGCCATACAAATTGGTATCCCACCCAGGAAGAACAGGAACGGTTCATCCGGGCATATCTGCGTCACCAATCCCGTCTGACAGCTCAACCTGCGGACATCTCCACTCCACCTGCAACCCACCCATCTGTTTCAGTTACCCGACCAACTTACACTAGCAGCCCGCGTGTACCCCCATTCCTTCTTGATACTTACGTTCCTGGAGTGAACCCGCCTCTCACAGATTACGAGAATCGTGATCCAGCCGAAGAAGCTGAAGTGCAGCAGCTTCTCCACGAGACACGTTTGTGGCGGGTTGCGAACTCAGTGCAGTGGATAGCATGGGGAATCGTGCAAGCACATGTCCCCGGAATGAATATAGCTCTTTCTAAACAGGACACCGCAAATATTCCGGCCCCTGGAAGCTCTGTTCCTAGCGAACCAGAGAAGAGCGATGAGCAGCAATCGACCGATTATGCTCAGGAGGTTAACCATGAACAGGTGAAGCAAGAAGTCGAGGCTGAAGAGGCGGCTGATGAGTTCGACTATCTCGCCTACGCGCAGGATCGGGCTCTTTTTTTCTGGTCCGATCTACTGGCATTGGGATTCATAAAGGAGGAAGAATTACCGGCGGACATGATAGAAGATATCAAGAAACGGGTGATTGATTATTAATGAGTTAATTTTAGGCCGTGATCACGCACGACAGGAATTATCAGTCGAGCTGTGTCAGGCACCTCATTTTGGTCGAAGCATCAGCGCCACTGCTCGCGTTCTATGTAGATTACCAGCGCCGCACTTTTGTATATACCATCTCTGCTAGGTGCTGCTGGTAATATATGTTTAATTTGGACGTTGAACCATCTCCCTAATACCATTCATTCCCTCTCCACATACTCTACGAGTGGCATCTTCTTTTGCAAACCAGTAGCCGGGAAAACACGTGTCCGGAAATAAAATGAGCTGTTTAAAAAGGAAAAAGAGGGGCTTTTAAAAAGAAATTTCGGACATTTGCAAGTAAGCGACACCGCTGAGATTCGAACTCAGGCCCCCGAAGGGATCAGCTGTCGAAGATCAATCGATTCTAGGCTGACGCGATAACCACTCCGCCACAGTGCCTTGGTTGTGTATCGGAATTTAGCGAAAAAAATTCTAACAATCCCGGTGATTGAGGATCCGAGACTCCCGAGGCCCTGATTGGCTGATTTATGATTAGTCAGTATTTTTGTCGTGAACCTTATGGTAGTTTGCATTGCTTGCTTGCGTCCTCGTGTTTATCCCGAACAACGGCAAGCTTCAGATCCGTCTGCCAGCATAGAATCCCAAGGGAATTTGAGGACCATATGAGCCCGGATGACGTGCAGGTTGAGAACACATATAATTACGGCTAGCCCCAAGTTTTACGGTGTGAACAAGCTATTGCAAACTGAAATTCTTTCTGTATCACCAAGAGAGGCTCCTCAGATCTCCAGCGCTATCTGCTTTTTATCCCCAAGAGCTCTCTTCTCGTGTCAAGTAATTCGTTCTTGTTACTACTCTCTGTTGGATTCTATTTAGTGTGGAAATGCCTTCTTCTCGTTCTAGTTGCTCTAGTCTCTCGGAAACGTCTACAGTCTACTATGGACACACTGCCTTCACCGAATTCTCTGGGCAGGTCCGTCATCTCTGTCAGGTTCTCTAGCCGCAGTCGTCTCCAGCAGGCACGACCATCGAGCGCCTTACTGGAGGCTCGTATAATCGACTTATAGGTTTGTCAATCGACAATGTCAACACCGATGCTACAGCACCACCACAGGCTGCCCGTTTCATTCTTCGCATCCCGCGATTTGAAAGCGCTCAGGTCGAGAATCAGATCGCCACTCTTAGCTTTCTCAAACAGCGGACGCAAATACCCATTCCGGAAATTGTTCTATTTGATCTGACGCCAGAGAATGCGATTGACAGCCCGTATACGGTTCAGTTGCGGATCTCGGGTCTTGACTTGCAAACAGGTTATCAAACACTGTCCCACGCGCAGCGTTGCTCCTTTGTGCGTCAGTTCGCCCGCGTGTGGTTGGATCTTCAGGCCGTGATAAGCCCTATTGCGGGGCATGTCTATATACCACGTGAGGACTTAAGTGTGGGGTTTCCGGCTCCCTTAGGCCAAATCAAAGTTTCTCATTTGCGGCTTGAATCTCCGGGAGAGGCATCTGAGGCGATTATGAATACGCTCAAGACACAAAATCCCCTAGATATGCTCCTTTTCCAGTTCAGACGATGGAGCGACCTTCACAGGAAGTCCGCGCCCAATAGCCGCATTATACCAAACTATTTCACCAAGCTTGGGACTGTTGCGGAGGAGATGGATGCGCGCGGTTGTTTTGGTGAGAGCGACATGGTGCTTTGCCACACAGATCTCAGCCCGCGGAACATTATGGTCGAAGCTGCCCCGGACGGCTCACTCCGAATATGTGGCATTCTGGATTGGGACGAGGCTGTATTTGGTCCGCGAGTTATGTCATGTGCCCCTCCTTCATGGATATGGCAGTGGTGCGAAGACGGAGAGGAAGACGAGGCGACTGCTAGGCTTGAGCCTCAGGATCCTCAACTCCGCGAGTTAAAGTCGATCTTCGAGGAGGAAGTCGGGCAGGACTTGCTAACCCTTGCATATCTTCCCCACCACCGGCTCGCTCGAAGGCTATGTGACTTTGTACTGTATGAAATCAGTTGCAAAGAACACATGGACAACGCTGATAGGCTCTCGGCGGAATGGCAGCAGCTAAAACTGAAGATGGAGGGTGCGCAAGGCTAGCCTTGACAGAGACGACACAAAAGATAAGAGCATCTGAGTATCGGTCATTTCAGTAAAGGGCTCAAGTCAACCCTCGCTTTTCAAGACCACTCATCAAGTGCCAACTCCGTTCCATGTCATCGAACTCTTCGCATCGGTAACCACGCAACAAGGTCTTCGTGCAGATCCTAAAGGGAGCGTCTCCAACGAGAACCACCTAAACCGCACGCGCTGCCAATCCAATCCAGGGGTTTTTAACGCGATTCCCGCCTTCCGTGAAACTTCATCAGCAGTAAAATCGTTCCGACTGAATCTCTTGAAGGCGCCTTCATTACGCGCTGAATCGAAACCAGCTCTCTCCCCATCGCGATGCCATCCCGAAGTTCATCCAAGCAGCATCACTGCCCCAAGAGGAAGGAAGGCAATTGTCGTCGAAATGGTGGTATTTGCACTACACACCAGCAGTACTGTGGCGCCCATCCCCAAATCTACCCACGTGAAAACTGAGGTTTGCCCGCTCTGCCAAATGACCGAGGACAACTCGCCGAGAGAAACAGTGCAGATAGAGAATTACTGCCCGATGAGCAGCTCTGGTGGATGTGAGTTTACGACGGGTATTTCATACTGTCTCGCCCATCAATGGCTGTGCTATGCACATGGGACAGTCAACTTAGCTCATCTCTCGTGTCCAAATTGTTGAGAAAATCGAGGTCATATAGCTGGGTGCTCGTCTGTATGAGTTATAGTTGCTGGAACGGTCAATAACGACGTGAAGGCCAATGTGATGAAGCGAAGTTACACTTCCTTGCGTTATACCCTACATGTCAGTCCCTCGAAATTCAAAATGTCCTCACAAGTTGGTTTCCTCTCGCCCAGGACGTCATGCTCTCTGGATGATTTTGGAATATCAATCCGTCCCTCTGCATGATTTTGGAAGTTGGGTGGAGGGGATTTCGCCGCATACCATCGGTTCTGCTATTTAGTATCGACATGACCCTTATTTCTATGATGACTATGACAAACCTTTACGCATAGCTCATTAAACCTCCGGGGATAAGGAATCAAAGCTCCTTGAACAGGCGTCCCTCCAACCCAACCTTGGAACTTCGCCGTTCGTTGTGTAGATCACTCTTCGCGCAGCAGGCCTGCTCGAACTGGCCAGGCCGGAGATACCGGGTTAAGGATAGTCGAGGGAGCTCACCGCAAGGCAAGGATGAAGGATCAAACAGGATGGGGCGCATCGTCGATCTCTCTGGTTCGAGGGTCAGCATAACTCACTCACTTCCGGCGTTGGCGGAAACTCCGATTTCCCTCTTCAAACAACCCCTGGTCAGCATCTCCAGAGTACGGAGAACATTTCTAATAATTTTTTCGGAAATAAAAAAAAGCTGTAACTAACCCACATGTAGCGAACTACTATACAGTAGAAAAGCAGGAGAAAAAAAGGAGGTATAAACGATCAGACGACACCGCTGAGATTCGAACTCAGGCCCCCGAAGGGATCAGCTGACGAATCGATTCGAGGCTGACGCGATAACCACTCCGCCACAGTGCCTTATCTTCTTATCGCTACGTACCCCTTAGCGCCCCATAGACACTGTTCGCACGATGGTACGGTAACTCTCGGTCAAACTCCGTCGGACAAATTCTATCCTGTATGATGCCAGCGGATGGTTACTTAATAATAAAAACGCACTCCGACACCCGGCTCAGAACACCCGATAGTTTATTCACCCGACTATCAAACCTTCAACCTGTGGTTTTCAGGTCCATTAAACAATCATAACACCCTTACACAGTGAGAGGGCAAGGAAAACCTAGTTTCGTCGACGTAGGGATTGGTACCCTGTGCTTGAGTAGAACGGCTTGACTATACTCTCGGCCTGGGGCTGGCGGAGGATGAATTTTGCTCAATAGGCGATCAAGCAACGTCACTCAGTGGCCTCGACCGGGGGCAACTTCTTAGGGTGTGAGTCACCATCAGGTCGCAAGCTGACAAGGTGCATGTTCCTTCTATCGCGGTGGTTGCGGATCCCGGTCCGAACTTCTTACTGTCTCTCTTTCTGTCTTCGCTCCACGCTGGAGAGCAACAGCAGGTACCCGCAACGGGGATACCGTACAAGTATGAGGTGTGGATATCAGACGAAGTCGAAATGCGGCTGATTTAATACAAGACCAACAGTGACGAAGCCTTCTACCTCCCTTACGGGGGCTGTGTAACAATGACTTGAAATCTGCTTGCACTTAAACCAGCCCTGTCGAAGGAGAAAAGACAGTATCAGGTAGCCTCATCGGGATCGGCGGCCTTATCCGGTCACCGGTCCCACAGAGCTGTTAATTTCTGGAACGCTGATCGGTTCCTTGTCAAGAAACATTGCAGGTCACTTCGACGTATATGGGTAGTTGTCCGATGGGAATATCGAAGATTGATCTGTGAGAAGTTGGAAATGTGCTCATTAGAGAAAGGTCACTAAAGGCTGAGGGCATCATCCTGTGTTGCTCGCCTGTAGTAACCACATGTTATATTGCGCAAACCACCCCCGGCCGGGGCAGCGCGCTCCTAGCATATTATCAACAAACTTAGGATTGCAATCAACACAACAAGCTGAATTAGATACCCTCTTGGTGATATCCCGTAAGGATTCATGCTGGTTTTTACTTTCCCTGGTACTTTACCGCTTCCGCAGAGAGGATGTTCCAACCCAACGGGCAAGAATCAAATGCAACGAGAGCGTTCCAGGGTATGGCAGGGCGCCAACAACGTTAGATGCCGTTGTCCAGAACATCCCCTCCATCGCTCATTGAGGAAATCCATATCGCCTGGAGGGAAGTAAGGCGGCTCATCCCACACCCAGTGGGGTCAATAAAATCAATTTATCGATTGAGTACCAAGCCCATGACTGAGATGACATCGGCTATCCGTTATATACCCGAAACTCTGCTCACTGAACATGGGTACATTCGGAATCATCATGTCAAATGCTCGCCCAATACTCCACATGTTAGAATTAATCGCCTATGGTCCAATCGGTCTTAAGCCGGGGTGGAGGATAACGGGTAGTTCATCGCTTGATGGCTTTCATACCC